CCTCGTGTTCGATCTCTTCCACCTCGTCTTCCTCCGCCGCTGCTAGAGGCACCACAGGGGGGCTTCGTGTCCGGACAGTGGCTCCAACCACGCCCTGCGATGCCTTGGGAGGCGCCAGTTGCTCCTCGGGTGCCACTGGCTTCGTCGCCCCAGACTCAGGCGCGGCACCGGCATCTCCTACATTCGCCGCTGAAGCCCCGGCGGTTTCTGCCGTTGCCCTGGGCATCGTCAATGAATCGTCCACCGTCGACACCAACTGTTTGCCACCATCAAGTCCGCTAGCAGCGGCGGTTGGCTCCTCTACATGCTGCTGAGCACTCGGGGACTCTGGGATGGGGTCCATCGGCATCTCCTCCACCCTGAGGCCAGCATTTGGCTGCTCGTCATCCGCCCTAGAGCTGGCCTTTGGTTGCTCGTCAGTCTGGACGGGTGGGGCCGGATCCTCCGTACGCCTCGCTCTGCATCAGATCAGCTCCTCAATCACCAAAAAAGGATAAGGAAATGACAACCAAATAACTCCAAGACAAGGGTACTTATGCAGCGGTTTTTCGGTAGATCTTTCTAAACCGGCGCTGCCTACGTCTTGGGGTGGAGGTCCCGCGGTCTCTGTCGTCGGCCTCTCCTCCGCCCGCCGCTCCGGGGATCCCCTCGCCTACTGCTCGGGGACTCCCTCCGTCCGCCGCTCTGGGACTCCCCTCGCCTGCTGCTCGGGGACTCCCTTCGCCTGCTGCTCGGGGGCTCCCATCGCCCACTGTTGGGGAACTTCCTCCCCTCCCCTTGACTGTTCCTCCGCGCATGTGCTGTGCGGAGGCGCCTTCGTGCTCGATGGAGGAGCAACTGGAACTTCGTCGTCATCTGACCACTCGAACACCGCGGTCCTTCGCGTCTGAGTGGTCTGGTCACCGCCAAGTGAGATGCCGCCCGGCTTGAGGGGAGTGGCACCCACCGTCTTTCTCTTCTTCCAGGTCGGCTCGTTTGCCGCTGCCCTCTTCCCCCGGATTTTCTCCGACACCCAGGATGGACTCTCCGATGAGATGCTGACGGTTTCCTCCTCAGGCTGCGTCGGTGGCCGAGCATCTACCGCCTGTGGCCAATCGCCCCTCGGCACGCTCGAGAAGTACACCGCTCTTTCCTGCGAATGGATCTTCGCATAAGTGAATCAGTCCACTGCTCGACAATGATTGAGGATAAAAAGCATCAGGAACACACAATTGAGATATTTACCTAAGGAGGTAGATTTTTGCAGTGAAAGGGTCTCGTCTACCCTAGCAAGTTGAACGAGGCAAATGGAGCGAATAGCTCTACAGCCCGCTCTTGCACTACGTCCCTCGACAGCATCTCCGTCCTCTCCCGGGTACCGTCGGTCTCCCCCTTGAAATCAAAGGTCGTGTGAGCCCTCTCCTTGCAGGGCTAAACGTGGCGCACTATAAAGCTCGTCGCCACCAATCCACCATTGGTCTTCACGTCCTTTATTAAGCCAAGGAGCTTCCTCACTTGCTCCATATCAGCGTTGCTTGGCATCTCCGACCAGCTCTTCTGGCTCTCCGGGATGTGGTCAGCGTCGTAGCGGACGATAGGGTGGCTCTGCTTCATGTAGAACCACCTGGCGTTCCACCCCTTTAGCGACGTGTTCAGTGGCACAGTAAGGTACTCGCCCGCTATTCCATCGCGTAGCTGAAGGTACACTCCACTGACCACCTTGGAACCACCGCCGCCTCTCTTCTTCAGCCAGAACAGGTGACAGAAGAGGTTGAAGTGGGGAAGGATTCTGAGATACGCCTCACAAAAATGGATGAAGATCGAGATGTGCAAAATGGTATTTGGGTGGAGATTGCATAGACTAACCACCCAGAACTCCAATAGATCCCTCAGGAATGGATGAACAGGAAATCCCAACCCGCGCCAGAAATAATCCTCAAATACCACTACTTCATCAGTATGAGGCATTGGGAAGGGCTCACCGAGGGCCGGCCGCCATCTGGCGATAACACGGTCAAGAAGAATGCCCGCCTCCACCAATCTGTTGAGCTCCGCCTCTCCCGTTCGCGACGGCACCCACTCTTCGTCACGTCGGATTTCGGCGCTCGCCTTCTTGGGGCTCATCTTCTTCGGTTTCGTAACTCCCTTCTTCGGCGCCATCTCTCAAATCTGGTTAGGGTTTGGCGGTGGAAGCAAGTGTAGATGTGAATCTGGAAATGCGAGGGCTGAGGAGGAAGATGAAATGGCAAAGTGGCAAAGGTGGGAGTGTGGGGTGTGGCGACCCAGTTATAAAGCACTCCCCCCACCTTTTCGCATTTGAGGGTTTTTGGGAAACCGTTCCCGCGATTTGCGCTTCTCCGAATTCTCCGCAACAGCAAGGTGGGCCGTTAACTAGGCCTTCGCGCAAACCATGGCCCGTATCGCTGATTTATCTCTGCAATTTGTTACGGCTCGCCGAATATTCGCCGACTTCTCCCCCAACCGTTACGGCTCAATAATTACTACTGTACAGCCATTACTCCGGTATTTTCTCCATGATTTTGTTTTCTCCAAGATTCCCTCTTGTGGCACAGGGACTACGTCAGCATTACGTCTCGGTTCCTCACCGCATTCGGGATTTTTCTTCAGTTGACTGCTGTTTCTGACCCTGGCACCATGTGAGCACGTCACCTACTGTCAAGCTCGGGGACTAAGTGGGCACACTTCACCTTGTGGTGAATGTGCTTTTTCTCATTTCAGAGCTACGCCCGGGGACTGGCTGCCTGCTTGGCTGGTCTTCTACTATTCTTCTAGTTTGGACCCTAGCACCACATGACTATGTCATCTACTGTCAGGCTCGGGGACTAAGTGGGCACACTTCACCTCACGGTGAATGTGTTTGCTTTATTCTGGAAGACTCCGTGCCTCTTAACGCTGAAGAAGACTATTTCTTTTTCTCGTGGTCGGACTCTAAGTGGGCACACTTGGTCCACTGCGAAGAAATTTTCGATTTTGAACTTGAGCTCCTTACACCCTTATGGCAAGCTGTACTTGGGTCACGCTGCTCGGCGACGGTTCACGCTGCTCGGCGACGGCTCACGCTGCTCGACGACGGTTCACACTGCTCGGCGACTGCTCGGCAACTCATCACGGTGGTCGGACCATGAGTTTGATTGCTCGGCTTTGTTCGCACCTGCTCGGACAAGCTTGAGACGGCGTTGCACAACGGGTACAAGGCGCTCGGGGACTAGCTGTGGGGGGTACAACCTCGGATACCCATGGCAGACCACATGGGCTACGCCCCCAGGGGCGGCCCAGCCCACAAGACGAAGCCTTACGGGGCACGACTCTTCTCGGCGCCTCCCGCAAGACACCGGTAAGATATCCTGAATATACTACGAGATCTGTTAGGATACGTATGATCCCAAGATTCCTGTAATCTGTTATTACTTTCCGGTTACCTCTCAGATCTAACCGACTTGTAACCCTGCCCCCGGACTATATAAGGCGGTAGGGACCCCCCTCCAAACTCACGCAATATCATACGATAGCCAATATAATCCAACAGAATACATGAGTAGGGTATTACGTCATACTGACGGTCTGAACCTGTCTAACTCGTGTGTCTCTGTCGCCTTCTTGTTCTTGATTACACGCCTCTGCCGATCAATCTACCTTCGTGGGATACCCCTCGGAGGACTGCCGATGATATTCTGTCGACAAAATCACTAACCCTAATCAGTTCATTAAAAATAATCACCGAAATCACAAAATTGAGGGTCTTCGAGGGGGGGGGGATACCTTGGCTACGACGGGGGGCCTGCTGTCACCCCAGGCGACGGAGAGGGTCGCCGGTAGCCTCGCCGGCCAGCGACGGTGCCCGCACGGTCCAACAACAAGGGAGGGGGCGCCGGCGACCAGGGGCTGACCCCCAACCCTATGAGCAGGGGAATGGGGAGAGAGAGGAATGGAGGCACGGTCGGGGTTGGCTGGAGGCGCGACCGGCAATGGCTGGGCGGGCGGCTGGCGGCGGCGCGGTTGGGCGGGCGACTGGCGGCGCTCTTGGGCACGGGCGGGAGAGACAGAGGGAATAGAGAAGAGAAGAGGAGGCCGCAGCCGTGGGCTTGTGATGGGCCTTGCCGCGCCGTGCGGGCTAGCGCAGCAGTGATGCCAAGATCTGCGGCGCGGGAGTGCCACGCTAAGATCCGCGGCGCGGTAGAGCCTGCCACGTCAACGGTCAACGGGCCTCCTCGCTGCCACAGTGGCAGCCCTGCCGCGCTAGCATGCATGGTGCGACTGCGTGATTTTGCCGCGCCACCGCAATAGACGCAGCCAAAAGTGTTAGATTTAAAAATAATAATAGAGTGTTGGAAATAGTTTTAAAAAAATGTTAAAAAATTGTCTTCCACAAGAGGAAACATGTGCAAGAGAATGGCGGCCGCGGCAGCAGCACGCAGCAGATAACTGCATGTCTGCATCAGAATGTCAAAAAATCGTGGTCACGCGCCACGACCGAGCAATTTAGCAACACAAAGCACATTTAGCAACACAAAGCACCGAGAAAAAAACCCAGTCCAGGCTAACAGGTACTCCTCCATACACAAATTAGGAGCAGATCAAGACGGGCTTCTAAGGCCATGCAGAATTCCACATTTCAATGCCATCCACTCATCCTACAAAAACTGAACAAACCCTCCTGTATCCTCTGCATGTTATCACAATAAGCATCTCAAGAAACCTGGCACCCAATCCATCACACAAGGAGCTTCATACCAAAGGGTTCTTTGTTCTGTCCCTACTTTATTTTTGTTTTGTCTTAGTCGTCCAAATTACCAAAACGCAAAAAGCAGTACTGGTGCAGGGCACTGCGAACGTTTGCAGCACATATTCTTATTACAACACACTTGTTCTTGTTTTACTGAAACCAGAACAGACCAAGGCGTAACGCTTTATTCCAGACACGCCAGGGTTAGCTGCAATTCGCGGAAAGGTTTTGCCTCCTTGTAGTGAACCCTGAATTGCAGCGACCAGATTGGTTCACATCAACGGCGTACGCGACTTGGTCCGGCCTGAGAGGAGCCTGGGCCAACATGAGGTGTTCCACCCACTGCGGAACCTGGTCCTGAATCAGGTGCTTCGTCCCAAGGAGCAGCCAGAGTATCCAGCAGTTGTTGGAGGAAGTTTCTTGCAACGGGATCATCCTGTGTTTACCGTAAGAAGATATGGTTAGTACTTGACTGAAACCTTCCATCTGTTGTAAGTGGAGGCGGAGCAGTGGTTGATTAGACTAGAGGCAGCTGATGAATCGAGAGCAAGACTCACCTCGAGGCAGTGGTCGAATGTCCCATTCTTGAGAGCCTCAGGAAAGCTAATTCGCAGTGCCCTAAGGGCCCTGCAATGTGGAGGGGAAGATATGGGGATCACACATGCAAGGAAATGCCGCATGTTACAATTTAAGTTCCAATCTAATATGCAAATGACAGCACTTACCGGGGATGATCAGTCAGCCTGTGGTAGCAACAGATGATGTGCTTCAGCAACCTGGCGGAGGGTTGTTCAGCTAGTGAAATCACCATGCTTTGTAAAACTGAGGCTAGCGCAAAGAAACGTTCCACGGTGAAACAGATGTACTGTAACCCAGCTTCATCCAGCACAATCCTTTCGACAATGTAAGTGGCCACCTGCATATGCATTTGACTAATTAGTGTATTAAAGCAATGCTTACCAGATTAGTGCAATTTCCATTAACTACACCTGTAATGAGAGACTTAGGCTCCCAATACTCAATTTGTCATTTATGCAGATGAGATGTTACAAAGAGGTTAGCTACATTTATCTGCCAACCAGAATAGGAGTCATCTCCTACTGTTCTCAGAGAAAATACACAGAACTTGGTTGACAGATATATATACGCTACGGAAATTAGCAGCAAATGGTACTTGCTGAAGCAACAATGCCAACAGTTTTTGAAGTTTTTTCATAAGCCCCATTTTATGCTTTGAAGTCATAAGGAAATTTAGGGCTATCTGAGAGAAGCCCAGTGTAGGAAAATTTGATCCTGAAGACCTGCTTGGCTACATTCGAGAACATAAAGTGCTTCATAGTCTACCTCACCTAAAATATGTAAACTAAAACTGTTTGATATGTTGGAAGAGGATAGCATACCATACCATGCAAAGTAAGGTAGTAAAGATACTGAGCAACACATGGCTAATAACAAGTACAGCCAGTAGATGGCATTAATGATCTCAATCAAGAAAACTTTAATTATGTATAGCATGCCAATCGAAATGGTGGGGACTGTGAACTTACGCCACGTGATTGCAAGATTGTGTTCCATGCAAATTTTAGACAACCAAGCATACCAGCGAATACAATAACATGATACAGGATGGCTGAGCAGAGGCAAAAGATGAAAATAGTTCACGCAAAAGACGATAAGACATACTGTTTTTGAAAGCTCTTTGCCTGTTTCCATGATTCGCAAGCACAGAGGAATGATTTCACTTTGCAGCAGGAAACCGATGGCTTCAGTATCATCTGCCTGCATGTATCAAGACAAAGAAGCTTCTTTCTCATTTGCAGAATTAGTGTTTGATGAAAACAACAAATGGATCTTGGCCATGAATTCATCGCTGTCAGGTTAAGTGTTCTCCTATTATCTGAATAGGATTGAACGCGCCAAATGTTCCCACTGAAAGAAACACATGACCAACGTTCCAGATATCCTTAAACATCCTCGCATGTGAGAATGTAATCATGTGTTCCTTCTGAATATCACAAGTTACATGGCATTGCTTTGCACTAGCGAAGTGACAGAAGACCCAGCCCCCCAGGACTAGTGAAGCAGATCCATGCTGAGTTGTGTAAAAGTATAAATTACCTTAACAAGAGCACCAATCACACCTAGACTGGTGAGTCGCAGGGACTCGAAAGATCTAGCATTGCTGACAGTGTTCAAGAGTGGGTATAGGTATATGGGAATGTAAGCTGCAAAAAGAAAGGATGGAATGAGAGGGAGTGAAGAATAACGGTGACATATCCAGGAAACAAAGTTTATTAGTACTATACAAGTAAAAAATCCATAATACTTTAGAAATTTTATTACAGCAACTAACATAAACCAAAAGTGTGTCAACTGTCAAACACTATATGATGATGTGGCAAAACTTTAGTTCGGTGGTTGTTCAGGTCAGGTCCTAGTTCTATAGTCAGTGGCGCACTAGTTAATTTCCTCTGTGTGGCGTGGTATAGTGTGGCAGAGTTTGTACTTGGTTTCTTGTTCTTCTACAATGAAATGATACGCAACTGTCCTAGGCATTCGAGAAAAAGATAATGTGGTAAAATACTAACATCGGATAACTAACAACACACCTTCAGTACATTTCAGCTTAGACATTCAAAAAGTCATGTTCATTGACATTACCTTTTAGAAAGGAGGTCCTAGTCTCAGGGTGTGATGCAACAGACTGCAACAATTTTAGGAGTGAGGGTGAACAAAACATACGATAGAAATCTAATGTTCATAACTTAAAATGGATAACAACAAACAGAAGAAAAAAAAAACCTTTGCAGTGCAGTATGTCATAGGAGACAATTTTTCTGCTTAAACCCCTTATTTCTTAATACCATACCTGAAGAAGTGCAATTGCGTTGCATACTCGGCTCGATGCACATGCCGTTAGTGTTGGGGGTGAAAGTGCAGGGTAGACTGACAAAATTTCCTGTTTTTTTTTTCAAGTCGTCAAACATACCGAATGAGACCAAAAGACTGACTTAAAAGATCAATTTAAACTTCGAGAACATATATTAACAAAACTGATATAGTCATGAAATCAAAGATTGAATCAAGAATGCCTGAACTAACAGACTGATGATAGGTTAGTACATACCCGGAGAAGGATAATAATTGATCCAAAAGAGTGCCACATCAGTGGAGCCAAATTCTTAAACATCTCCCTTTTCTGTAAAAGTTACAAAAAGAACATTACATACCAAATTTGTTGCCATGTTAACGACTCAACATGCATCTACTATTGTTCATACCAGCACCATTACTGAATCAATCAGCTACAAAATGAATAAAAGTTTACAATGGAATGAGTTCACATCTTTAGCTACTTAGGAAAGCGATAACTATGGGATTCAAGCAATTAGCATGTTCATACACATATATAGGAAAATAATAGTAGTTTCACAAATTCAGAGCAGCTCAAACACAGATCTGATTCACTAAAAATAGTTTACACTGCAGTTCATATAAATGAATGGGGGGTCAACTATCAAAAACAAGAACCAAGTTTATACTTAACTATTATATATAAGGGTGTTCCATATATAAATAAACACATCCCTTCTGCGAGCAAACTCCTAAATTGCAACAGAAAATGTTGCCCAGTATATGCAATGAACCACCAGCAGTTCAAGATTTTTCATCATTACAATGTGCAGTAAGCTACAGCTGGCATCTGAACAAAAAGAGTAAAATTCTCAAAGTTTCATAAATACACCAACTCCTTTCAAAGCACATATATTACTCTTTACTAAAACATCCTTACAACCACTGCCTATGAATGTGGCAGCTTGCTCTACTACATGTCAGACAAACAAATAGAAAAAAGATTCATGATTTTGCAGTCCCGAATACCACTAACACAAATCAAATCGGCACTTTTGTTGATCAAAATGTATTACATCTCAAGCATATGAAACAACTAATTTATGCATGGCAATCCGCCTCCAATAAACTCAAACTGGACGAAACCAGGTCTCCTAAATCCTGATGAATCTATACATGCACTAGAAAACCAGCTATGAACCAAAATTAAGAAATCATACACACAAAATACCTAAATTATTGTGATTTCCAAATCTAGTAAGCAGAATAAGTTACATCGCACATAACCACGGATCATCCTCATAAAATCCACAAGAGATCAAACAGTATTGCCCTTGGCAAACCAAGAGCCGATTGCCTTGATTACCCAATCAATTAAACTGAACTATCTAATTCCGGAAAACCACAAAGCATCACAGATGCAAACTTCAGCAGCTATCGCAACAAGAACTCCTGACAAGAAACCTCACTAGAGATCGAGGAGGCCAGATCTTCCAACACAGGGATGTATAACCAGCAGACGAGGAAAGGCAAAAGAGGGACCTTGGAGAGCTCAGCGAGGGCATTTCCACGCAACTCAGGTTCGTAGAGGTCGCGCAGAAGCCGCTCTTCTGGCTTCATCTTGGTATCCTCCGCCTGCACCACGGCGTTGCAGCCTCCACTGCCTCTTGCCACGGAGGGAGGAAGGCGAGGCATTGGGGAAGGAGCAGGTGTCGAAGACTTTCCGTTTCAAAGAGGCGAAGAAATAGAAGAAGGCTATCATTATTAGATTTATTAATCTATTTAAAAGACCCTTATACCCTTTTCCCGTTGTTCTTATAAGGTAAAAATAAATGCATCCTTGTATTTACCTTTCCTTTGGGTTTTGTTTCTGTAATAAAACTTATCATCTGTTTTAGCTTTTGTACGTTTCATATTTGGAATGCTCTGTACACTGCCTTTTTGGATGATAGTGTTTTGGGTGCTTGGGATTGTCTTAAGTGTAAGAAATAGCTGGTTTGCTATGTGAATGAATATGTATCTCTGATCATGGATGTAATCGATTACTTACTGCAATAGCAGTACACCATTCACATTTCCTAAGCCAGTATTATATGGCTAGATTGCTGGGCTAGGAACAGCAAGGGTTGGAAGCGTACTCACCCTTTACAAGAGGCTCTGAGTAACCTATTTACATGGAGATACTAATTCCATGTTTAACTCAGAATGTTCTTCCGTATTCATCTTATAGAGTCGGCCCTACAATTTGACTAACAGACTGCTTGTTCTTCTCCCAAATAGGTAGCAATTCCAAAGCAACTAACTCAAAACAAACTTCCTAGCTAGGACATTTCAGATAATTATGGATGTCTGAGCCTGCTTCTTGCACCATGCATATGTTTTTCTACGAATGTGTCCACAACACACTACAGTAGTAGTCTTTCAAGTATGGATTTGTGGACCAGTGATTTTGTCACTACATGATTTAGGGAGTATAGAGGTGGCCATTTTAAAGCTTCATAGCAAAACATATCTATATGCAATAGCATCCTCTATAGAATTGCAAAAGTCAGGGGTGGGGCATAGCCCACTATGGCCCCAATGAAGCAGCTACCTTAGACAATTCACTTTGTATGCACCCTATATTAAAATATCAACTCAACTGACTCCCTGAACCATTCCAATTTGTCCAGTTCACCCCCTAATGATTTTTTTCTCCTTTTTGTTACTCCTTGTACAGGTTGCATATCGGGTTATGGGTTAATAGATGAGATTTCTAAAGTATGTTAAGAAAAAACTTGAAAATTGTTGTTGTCGTCTTTCACACATTGTCATGTCTCACTAGTTAAAGTAATATAAAATGCTCCCAAATCTCAACTGATGGAAATAATCACAAAATTTGAACCCAAGACAACTTTTACGAGGAGAAACAAAAAACTGAAATTTCATTAGGGGTGATTTGATCTAGTTTGATTACTTTGTGGGAGTAAATCAAGTCAACAATCAACATTTTGTATAGGTGGTTGAACAGACAAACAGAATAGCTGGAGGTCGTAAAGTCACACTTTTTCCTTAAAATTAGTTCTTTATAAACAAAAAAGGGAAAGACAAGTACACCTATGTATTTTACGATCATTCAGTAAGCATATGTACCTAAGGATTTCTACATTTATTTTACATGATCAAGGACCAATATTCACAAATAAGGTGATTGCTTACTAGTTAATCAATAAAGGAAGATATATTATTTCATCGAAACTTATGATAGATAGATCATAGAAAACCACATATATAAATTGGTAAAAGACTATCTAATCATGTTATCATAAGTCATATGAGTTTGAAACAACTCAGTGCCAATTAATTCTGAGATATTATGTGAAATGAATAGGAGGTGATGAAATAGGCTGTCTAGAGGAGAAACAATAACTTCAAATAGGCAAGCGCCTAATGTTTTTGATCTAACAGATCAAGAACTGAAGGCATGCCACAGGTTCAGGGTCTTTAGGACTAGGAGCCTCATTGTTCGATATGATTCGATATGATGCACAGATTCAACAATTCTAAATTGTTTGTAATAAATGATGGAATGCAACACCAATGAGCGATAGGGTTTAAATAGCTGCAGGGACAGATCCCATGCACGACACAACACTAGGAAACTTCACATGATTCTCCACTGGCATCCAAAACTACCATGGACAGTATCAAATCAGACTGCTATTTCACAGACAAGCACTTCATTTAGCTGTGGACTGCCACTCTAATGAGGTGTACATGCAATATATTAGCTGTAACTGTAAAGAAAACTGAAGTCCTCAGGTCTTACCAATGGGTGTAAATCTCATCTGCCGCATCCGCACATGAGTCCTTCAGAGGATAAATATTAGGCCTACATCTCTTTTACATGCCAAACTCGTGTCACTATGTGTGAGGGACAACATCTGCTGCCCTTTGCTTATTGTTCGCAACTCCATACTGTAACACTATGTGTGAGTAATAGCGACATCCTAACTTGTTGATAATGTTGAGACTAACACTTCGTCACTTCTAGATTGAAACTCACTGATATCAAAGGGCGAGCCCGTTGTACCCCCAATACAATTTAATGAATTCTTCGAGCCCTGTGTAAAATAAATAACTTTCAGTTGCTCCTCTAATTCCTGATAAAAAGCTAAGAAGATAGCATCCTAGTAGAAAGGTAACGTGGGTTTCACCAGCAATGCGTTGGACCATTGGTGTCAGATGCATACCGTCCGTGTGGCGTCCCCTGATCGCTGAAACAGACGAAACCGCCACTGCCCTGCCCTGCCACGGCAGCGGAGGTTCCCTGCACCAAATTAGTGGCTCCTAAGATCAGACGTCGCCATCTCGCCGCCACCCACTCGCCGCATACCCGCGCCGCAGCTCGCCGTCCACCATCCGTTTCCGAAATTGGAGCCTCCCCGAAGCTGCCAAGCCCTAGGAGGTAGGCGCACGTGGAACGGCTGCTCCTCCCGAAGCCGCCAAGCGCTAGCCCGAGGGATGGAGGAACGGCTACTCCTCCCAGATCGAGCCGCTCGACAGCGCTGCATCCAGCCCTCCGTATCGAGCGCTCGCCCAAACAGACCAGAGGGGCCAGCGCCGCCAGCCGTCGCAGCGGAACTGGGACGGCGGGCTCCCTCCTCCACCGGGAGTTTGGCGCAGCGGATAAGCCGTCGCCGCCGCGGGAGGCGACGCGGCCCGTGCCAAGCGCCGCATTGCCGCGCCGCCGCGAGCCGGCGATGGGGGTCGAGGGATACTGCGCTTTTCCTTCAGCCGTTGGACTGAGTTCTAACGGTCCAGATTGGCCCTTTGACCCGATCAGAGCCAACACCCACTGACACACACGCACACGGCTCCACAACAAAACCCCACTTTTCTGTCTTCTTCCTCGGTCGCCCGCGTCTCCTTCTCGTGATTTCTCTCGGGACGGGCGCGCAGCGCCGGCCCGAGCTCCCCGACGCCGCCGCCCTAAACCGGTTCTGGCGGCGGTTCCGCCCTCCACCGCAGGCCGAAGTTAACCTCTCCGGAGCTCAACGCCTCCGCCTGCACCGCCCAACCACCCGTCTCCCACCCTCGGCGGGCGCGCCGCCCGCCGTCCCGCCCACTGTCCGCCACCACCGCCGGACTGGCAACTCTCCCGGCGATCCGTCTAAGCCCGGCAGTCTCGCAACTTCAGGTAAGCCCGTAAACCCCAGACCCCCAAATCCGGGACATTTAACTTTTGCCATCGTTACGAAATGCACTCCTTGCAATTTTTATACGGACGCCTACGCATTTTATTTTTTTTTATCATTTTTCTTACCGTGCCAGCGCCTCTCCTCTCCTGCTGCTCCTGTCTCCACTCGCTGACATGTGGACCCCACGTTCATCTTCGACCTCTGGCCACCGGAGAAGGGGCGAGCATCAGGGCCATGGTGATGCTTGGCGTTGGCGGAGAAGGGGAGAGGGACGGGGATGGAGAAGCCGAATGGACGGACGGATCACAAGAAGGTCCGGGCGTCGGCGAACGTGGCTGCGGTGGCGGTCATCATCATGCGCGCGAAGTCCTGGAACCCGACGAAGCCGTCGCCGTCGGCGTCAACGCCGCCGATCATGCGGCGGCAGTCGTCGAGGCTGCACCCACCGTCGGGCCCGCCGCCGAGGATGCCCTCTAGGACGGCGCGGTGGTCCTCGGCGGTGATGCGGCCGTCGCCGTCGGCGTCGAACACGCGGAACGCATCCATGAGGTCGCCGTCGGCGTCTGCAGGCGGAGGCTGCGCGGCGAGGGCGGCCACGGCGTCGAGCTCGGCTCGGCGTGGCCCAGGCGTCGCAGCACGGCCTCCAGCTCCCGCCGCGGGATCTCCAGCGGTGCTGCCGGCGCCGGCGTCAGCAGCACGGACTGCGGCGTGGAGGACCGTGCCAGCGCGTCGTCAGATGAGGACGAGGATGTCGAGGACGCGAACGACGGCGTCTCGCCGCGCGACAGCGACCGCTTCTTCTTGTTCTTCCCGTCCTCGTCACCGCCCCGATTCGGGGACGGCAGGGACAGCTTCATGGCGAGCGGCTGGATGGACAGCTTCTTCTCCGTCTCCTGCGCCGGCGCCGCTGGTTGGCAATGGAACACAACACGGGACCGGTGGCCAGAGGGTGAAGATGAAACTGACCGGTGGGGCCCACATGTCGGGGGAGGGAGAAAAGCAGCCGCGGGGAGAGAGCAGCCGCCACGCTGGCTGACTGTGTGGCGTAAAAATAGTAAAAAATTAGGTGGACTATCCGCCTATAGTAAATGTGTAGGTGTTCGTGTAAAAATAGTAAATGAAGGAGTGTCATCCTTTCCTTAACGATTGCAAAAAATTAAATATCCCCCAATCCCCATCTTCTGTTCAGTTTTTTATACGCGAGAAATCGCGCGAAGATAATTAAAACTCATTTCTATATCTATGTCTGTGTCCGATAATAAAGAGACATAATTTAAATTATTTTTTTGACTATTTTTTCTTTCGTCTTCCTCAGACTAGATAATAGTGTTCAGCTGATGGGTTGTACAGTAGTTTTTAGATTATTTCGGATAATTTAATAGTATCTTGTAAGAGATAATAAGCTGAACCTGAACTTGAGCACTTGTTTCTGTTCTTCTGTTATCCGTCTGCCGGCCCGGGTGGACAAGACGAGAGGGATCGACCGGTTGCCGTTGCTCTCTCGTGCCCATGGCCGTGGCGGTGGCCTTCCCCTCCGGCGCCCTCCTCCCCACCACCCCCGGTACCCACCTCGCCCCGTTCACTCTGCGCTTCCCCTTCCACCTCCGCCCACGGTGCGCCGCCTTGGCCGCCGCCACACTCCGCGAGGTCTGCGCTGGCCGCGTCCCGGACCACGTCCTACAGAGGTGAACACCGCAACCAGACGAGCCGCCAATCCTTTACCATGCCATTAGCTCACTCGTAGGCGGAGGCAAAGGCAACACCTAGAAATTCCAGGGGTGGTTTCATTTCTTGATTGAAAAAATAGAAATTTGGTTTCAGGGCTGAGGAGGTTGGCTATGTCGTTCCTACCGAGGTGCAGGAGCAATCCCTGCCGCTTCTGCTGTCCGGCCAGGATTGCATTCTCCACGCGCAGGTGGTTCTCTCCCTGACTCCCTCCTTATAAGCTTTCTTGCTCGTCTGTTTGCTAGACTAGACCAAGAGTTTCCTGTTGTGCGATACTGCTGTGGCCTGTTATGGCATTTCGCATTTCACGGTGTAGACAGGCTCCGGGAAGACGCTGGCCTACCTCCTGTCCGTCTTCTCCGCCATCGACTTCAGCAGGTCCTCAGTGCAAGCACTGGTTGTCGTCCCCACAAGGGAGCTCGGCATGCAGGTGATTGGCTTTGATTTGATTGCCGGCTCGATTGCTTGCTCAGTGCAACCCGTCTGTCTGATGTGGTTTCCTATGGTGCTCCAAGATTACCAAGGTTGCTAGACTACTCGCAGCCAAGGCCTGCACCGTCATGGCTTTGCTTGACGGTGGTATGCTCAAGAGGCAAAAGAGCTGGGTCAAGGTAACAGTAGTACTGACCATCTCTTGCTGGATTTATGTTGATGCCTGATTACCTGGGACCATTTTGATTGGAAGTGGCTATTCAATGGTTAGGTCCGGATCAATCTTATGATTTCAACATATATTTATGTCGCTACGATATTCGCGGTTGTGGCATGGTAGCAGAATTCACTTACATCATCATGTAGAGGGTTTGCCATGTGTTTGTGATGGAATTGTTGATAAATTTACAGGCAGAGCCCCCCGCAATAATTGTAGCTACTGTGGCAAGCTTGTGCCAAATGGTCGAGAGGCGCGCATTCAGCCTTCAATCCATGAGAGTGTTAGTTATCGATGAGGTGAGCTCATCGCTCCACTTTCTTAAGTCTTGAATCTAATTACTGCCAGAGTTTGCTCTGCCCACTGATGCCCTGTAATTATACTTGCCAAGTGGGCTAACCTTGTTGTTTCCATAGGTTGATTTTATTTTTGGGTCATCAAAGCAAGTCAGCTCTCTTCGCAAAATATTAACCTCTTATTCAGCAGCTTCGAGTCGTCAAACCATATTTGCAAGCGCATCGATCCCTCAGCACAATCGCTTTCTGCACGACTGTGTACAGCATAAATGGACCAAGGTTGTACTAACTTCTTCTACTGAACCAATTGCTGTTTGTTTTTGTACTTCAAAGAAAGCTAATGTCTTTTTCCCTTTATCATGGTATAGAGTGATGTGGTTCATGTTCATGTCCACCCTGTACAGCCCATGCCTTCGCACCTGTGTCACAAATATGTGGTGAGCATATCAAATTCTCTGTATAATGATTGATGACCTTGTATCTAGTCTCTTTTACCTCACTCATACAAGGACGTTCCAATTTTCTCCCACCTTTCTTTCAACCATAGGCACTTACCCACAACCATGCTCACCCACAGGCTCATTGTTGTAAATTATACTAATGTTCTTCTTGACAATTAATTTTGGGATGCATGGCACTTACTCAACATCACCTGCCTCTAGGCATGCCACATTTCTTCTAATTCTCAACTGATCCAATGCATATAGAGGCAACCTGTTTTTTCTTCTTTCCCATAATTAGTGCCTCCTGGCCATCTAAGTCCACAACCAACCTCCTTTCTCCCAAGATTTCTTTTCGATCTCTGTCTGAATCTTGGTGACTATGACAACACAATCAATGTGCAGATCTGCACCAAGAAGGAAAGGTTGCATGTTTTACTAACCTTGCTTGAGAGGGATGCACCAAAGTCTGGAATCATATTTGTTGCTGAACAGGTACTGGTGTACATGATGTTCTTTTGGTACCATACCATGTTGCTTATATAGTTTCTCTAGTATCTTGGGATTTTGTCATCTATTTTCTGGGGTGCTTCCTCAGTAGAGTTGTCAATAGGCCAAGTGATCTTATGACGGGCCAGCAATATTATGTCAGATGCAAATTCAATATAGTCACAATAAAGCATTTTGCCGTCTCTATCTGCTTATACAGAATGATACAGAATAATGCGTGATGCAGTGCGCTGTGATGCTGTAATGCCATGCACATATGTGATGAGTTGAGCCAATTTGGTATCTGCACTTTGGCAAGCTTGTTTATTATTTTTTGAATTACTACTAATGCCTGGGAAAGTTCTTGCAAAATCTATACCCGAATTATCATCCATCATGTAAACACCAAGATCCAGGCCCATGATGACTTAGTGGCATTGTCTGAGGTACCAGCAGCATCTACCAGTGCATAATTTCGTCTTATTTTCAGTTCCCATATTTTCTGTCACTTCCTTTTTAAAAGCTTTGGATACTTTGACATTTATAAGTAATAAAACTGGTTTGTTCACCAACAAAGAAGTATCTATTCATCACCTAGTTCTGAGCAGTTATGTTTACGGTGAAAGAATCTTAAGTTCTTGACTAGACCAAAAAGAAGTGGTGTATCACCCGCACATCTGCATTCTGTTTTGTAACTCTAAACCTATGTTCTTAGTCTGAGAGATCAAAGAAGGCTGGAAATCCTCCGTCAACCACCGTCGTTGCTGAGTTCTTGAGAAATGCATATAAGGGAAGCCTAGATGTGCTGCTGCTGGAAGAAGATATGAACTTCAATGCTCGAGCTGCCTCGTTCTCTGTAAGTGCTCTCCGAGTTCCTTGTCGGAATCCCCCAGCATCTCCATTCTTTGTATTGACTATGAGATTTGTGACCTCTGCAGGAAGTGAAGGGGAGAGGATTCCTGCTGGTTTCAACAGACATAGCAAGCAGAGGGTTTGACCTTCCTCAAACCAGCCACATATACAACTTCGACCTTCCTAAGACGGCGACCGACTATCTGCACCGTGCTGGAAGAACTGGGAGAGAACCATTCTCCAGGTTGGAATGCGGCGTGACAACCCTTATAACAGATGAAGAGCACTTCGTGCTACAGAGATTTCAGAATGAGCTCAAGTTCCACTGTGAAGAGCTGCCCCTTGAGTCAATGTTTACGTTCTCTTGAGCTCGGATGTGGATACTAGCCTTTTCTTCCCCTTTTTTTGGTACTGCTACAGGAAATCGATTTTTTTCCCACTCGCTCTGAGCATCTATACAGGGGAAAAATCTACAGCATTTTTATCTTATACGCTTGCATATCCATTTTTCTGGTTATGTACTTATGAAATGATCTTGAATCATGACAAAAGTTGGTCCTGAATTATTTTATCGTCTCGGAAAACGATTTAACTAAACTACAACCATGTGTAGCTCAGTCCACTGGACTATAGCTTATTAAACAACGGCTGTTGTTGTTCATTTGTCACTTAAACAAGAGCACGATTATATATGAAGGCACAAAGAATTCATGTCAAAGTCAACGCTTTATCTAGTCATTCATGTGAAATTATCAACAGAAGAAAGCAAAACCATATTCCATATTCAGTACGGATAACATGTTGGCAGCCATGGTACTCTAGCATTTTTTGTACCAAATAAATATTATTAGATTAGTTATGAAATATATTTCTTAGTGCTATTTAGACATAAATATTGACTAGCAAATATACTCGTGCGTTGCAACGGGAGAAACAAAACGTTCAACTTGTTCGCTTTAGCTTGCTGCACAGCTGCAGCGCCCGCGACAACTTAATTTTTATAGGTGACTTGTGAGTGGTTGCTGCAACAATTACAAACGAACGAGTCTGTTAGTGGAAACCATGATGGCAATGTTAAATATTTACTTTTGTATTATTTTTTTATAAAATTTAAAAGCGATACTTTATTGTATGATGATCATTGTATCCATATAATATAAGTTAATATTGGCAATAATATGACAATGTTATATTAATTTTGTATTGAATTAAATTACAACTTAGATAGGATTTTTTTCTTTCGTCATGGGGCACTAAAATATTTACTCGCAAATGTATCCTAACTTTAGTTTTTATACTATCCATGTATTGGTAGAGTTTGATATCCAAGTTCAGTGACTTATTTTGAGAATCCATAAAAAAATATGTAATTTTAATATCTTATTAAAGTTAGCATGGGTTGGTCG